TATTCATCCCGTATGCAAGAGAAATAAGTGTATTGTGGTCCTATGTGTAACAAGAGTGAGAGATAGGGGTATTTAGCCCCGTGTGTGACGGTGTTGCATGAAGTGTAGAATAAACGCTGCTGCCTGCTAAATAGTGTCTCTGAATGACTCACTACACAAGTAATACAAGCATATGTCATGAATGTGAAGCAAAGGCATGAATAGACATTGATGTGAAAAGTTCACTGACTATTGCGGATTGAAGTGTGTTACGTACAATTGCGCGGCCCTGTGCCTCTGTGGGATCAGCAGCTGTGCTGTCAACAACCACGAGGCCGTGGGTTCAAATCCACGTTCCCCCGTTACTTTATTTCACACGTCCGATGACCACGGTTGGCTATGCACGGTGCGATGGAAGTTCAACATCGATGCAATTCGTGTGAATATTTTCAGTTGAAACGTTGGAGGTCAAGGTGTTGAGGATAACCTCAAGGTTTTTAATCTTTTAAATTCACCTATGTTCTGGAAATGCGATGGTTTATATGTTTTTGAAAGCAATGAGCAACAGCCAACGTCGCAAAAAGAAACCATAACGTCTAAAAGTAGCTGTCTGAATAATTAAACGTTTATTTTCGACCTAATTTGCGTCAAATATGTACAAATAATAATAATAAAAAAAATCCCTTGAATGTCAGTGGAAGATGGTCTACGTGCTTTGGGGTAAAAGGTGAAATTACCGGTACAGGTCATGAATACAGACGATCCCCAGTGGTCTATGAGGTAGAGACTGAGCAGACGGAGCGAGACGACCATTAACATCAGAGAAGACACTCACACAATTAATGTGCACAACCGTTGCACGTTTTATCAAGCTTGCCATGAATCCAGCCTAAAAGGAGCAAGCTATTGCCTCCAACGGATGTGGGATTGTTAATTATGTTGTAATGCTTTGAGTAACATGCTGTTTGAATAATTGGCAGGTGTTTCTCTATCTCACACTGGTGCTGCGTTTAATCAAACCAACAGCAACTATGCTGTACAATGATAGCCACTCGGTGAACTCTATCAACACGCAGAAACATGAAAATATGTATCTCCTGATCGGAGTCATAGTTTAGCCGTGCTGTTTACAATTTCCAAACTGGGAGTTTATAAAATAAAATAAAGTGATAATGAATGAATACAGGCCGGTTCTTTGTAACAACATTAATCCAAAGAGACAACTCAGCTACGCAAATACGTAATCAAAATAAGAATCCGTATTTATCCCGGAGAAATCCGATGAGCTTTGATGCTCTTTCTAACAGATGTCCAGTCATTAAAGCACGTCTCCTTCCTGTCAATTTGCATTCACCACGATGGATAAACTTGCGATTTGACATCGTGTTCAGCTTGATCGGACCATGTAAACATCTGTACCACAGCTTTAATTGGTTTCTCTGATGCTCGTGATACACCTTAGTTTGCCCTCCCAGGTCCAAACGGCCCGATTGCCCGAACAAGTGTATTGCATTAATTGCTTCCTTGAATGCCATTTGCATGCCCGTAATAGTATTCCTGCCATTCGCCGCCCTCTCATTCAACTCTCCTGAGGTCATCGCATTGCCACAAATGTATGCACACCATAACGAGCCCTACCCTCGTCAAAATTCGAGAAAAGGCATGCATTTCACAATTTAATCTGAGGGGTTTTTTTATGCATCGCAAAAGTACACATTTACCAACAGATTTATTTTTCACCGAAAGTTTTAATAGGATGCTTATGACCTTTTAAAATGTCATGCTGTACTATATTTGCTTTGCTTGGCAGTAAAGTGTCTCGCAATTGGAAGGTTGCGGATTCAATCCTGCTTGGGTTTTGACTCAGCCCATCATTCTTCCAGGGTCACTAGAATGAGTACCAATCAATGTGTGGAAGTGAACAGTTGGCAGGAATGTATGTATTTATGCAATTTGTAAGTACAGGTAGTCCCCGAGTTACGATGGTCCGACTTACGATATTTAGATCTTACGATGGCGATAGCGATACGACAAAATTGTTAAATATTTTTAATTTCGCGCGGCAGGCAAACACAGCAGCGAACGATACGTTCAATGCATGTATGATACGTAGATTTCGATTTAAAGCTTTCGTGACTGCAAGGATTCATCTTCTTTGGTTCTTTCGGTAAAGTCACGTAGAATGAGAATAAAATAATAAATTGATAAAATAACACAATAATATTCTCACGACGTTTCGGCCACAACACAAGCGGCCTTCATCAGGTGAAGGGACGAGACTGTCTGGTAGGACAGCGCTGTCCTACCAGACAGTCTCGTCCGCTTGTGTTGTGGCCGAAACGTCGTGAGAATATTATTGTGTTATTTTATTTTATCAATTTATTATGATACGTAGCTTTAGCGATTTCATTTTAGGGTTACCACGACACGATACCTACGTTCAATGCATGTTAAAAGTTTTTATAGCAGATAGGATTGTTTCCTGAAAAAAAACTTTCTATTAAATTGCAGTGCATATAGGTAGGCTAAGAATTTACCTTGTTTTTTACTTTACATTTTACTGTGCAATACAGTATGGTAATTAATAAATACATACAGTATATAGTTTATACAGTACGGTACTGTAAATTGCTCTGTTTGCTAAATTATCACCGTTCTTTAAGACTCCTGGGTAGGCTGGGGCCATCTTCGACTTACGATATTTTTGACTTACGATGGGGTCGTCGTAACGCATCTCCATCGTAAGTCGAGGACTACCTGTATTTAATTTACATTAGATTGTTTTTATTTTTAGTGACTTCCTTTTACATTTCCCTCTCTTTTACGCTCCTATTTGTATCGGGTTTTTTTGTTGTAACTTGCTTACCCGCCCCCCACTGGAAGAACATCTGTGAACAAAAAGAGCATTATAGCTCATCGAATTCCTCCAGTCGAAATAATAGATTCGGTGTCTGATAGAACTGTCCTCGCCGTAGGAATGTAAAATTTCCACCAATGGCTCGGGACTGTAAATGGGAGGAGGAAGAGCATCGCGTCAACGTCCACTGAGCAGGAAGTTCACTTACGACTTTTTGGCAGTATTAATAAAATACATCCCGAAAAAAGGACTCGATTTCGATTTTTCCAATAGCCAACCGTGAGCTTAACATTACGAGGGGTGCATCTGAAAACACTCGGGGAAAACAAATACAAAGCAGCGGTGCATGCTGACACACATAAAGGCACTCACGATAATATTAACGGAATAACAATCTGACATTGCACCGCTATCAAATACTGCTATGACAATGAGGGATTGATGATGGAGATGTGAGCGTGACGTTGGGACCTGTACTTGGGTTGCAGCAGTGTCCCGGGATGCTCAGTATAGATCTCTGCGCTATATGACACTCGAAAACCTTTTGTCTTTTACATTCATCACATGGCTGCGCTTGGAAGAGGAAAATAATGTTTAAATCTTTCACGGTTATGAGCCAAGATGCTATTTATTTTTACTCACCCGTTGGATCACCCGCATCGTCTCTGTCTGCTTGGGTATTGGACCCGAATTGTACCAACGCAACATCTTTATGATGAATTACCGTTGCTTGAGTGTATTTTTTTTGTTTCATTATTGCACTGTAAATATACAGCTCATAACACGCTCCCGGGTACAACACACAAACCTGACAAAACCACACACTTGCACGTTACATAAACCGCAAGATATAAGCTAATCCGTATGTTCTCGGCTTGAGAAATGAATGTTCGCTGTAATATAATGGCAAAAATATATTGCACTGGAAGAAAAGGCTTCAGCATACTGATAGACGACAGGCTACCCTGTGACTTTTCTTAATCTATTCAAGGAAGGTTGCGTGCTAAAAAAATTAATGAGTTTGTATTTAGATTTTCTGAGCTGTAATATATATTCTTAAAACCATGGTATGGTCGTGAAATAAAGAAAACATTTGAGAATGTGAAAAAATTTCCAGCTTACAAGCCACCGTCACCAGCTGTGTGAGTAACGCGTCACCGCAAGTCACAGGGCATCCTAGACATCCGATGGTCACCATATACAGCCATCAAAATTGTCACGAAGACAGAACAAAAGGAACATTCTAAAATGCTTCCTGAAAAGAATTACACCCTTTCGAAAATGTTATATTATTAAAGCGCATCTCCCATTATTGTTATTCTATAACTGGCATCGACCACGGTGGCTTCTTAACACAGTTGTGCACGAATGCCACATTTGTATTGCTCATGTCGGCATTCATGAACACCCAGACATTCAACACTAAACCTTGTCAAGTATAAATTGCTTAAAAATTATTTTAACGTGTGCCATTGTATACTTACATAATCATCCAAAGATTATGGAATTGTTCTTTTAAAAAAAATACGTGAACAGACGAGTTAATAGCGGTGGGGAATTTCCGAAAAATATATATTTTTTTTCATGAAATAATTGTCATTATCCTAGAGTGCTTTTAACCGTTACTATTTCGTATAATGCTATAATAGCCAACACGCATAAAGTAGCTGATGTGTCAATGATATAGATTTGATACAAGTTAGTGAGCAGGCAGCACATTATGAGTGGCAATGATATTGTCATATTATAAGCCGTACTTGATGAATTGCTGTTGTAATGGAAAAAGGCAATGTGCATAAACACTTCGCTCGAATTTGATTAAAATCCGCGAAAGATGGGGCATTTTGGAAATCTTCACATGGGAATATGAGATATTAATAAGAATACGGCATGTAATCCCCACATGTAAATCCACTGTTGGATGTCTAGGACCAGTTTAGATTTTACTCACAATTGATGATAGCCCTGGCTGATAATCAAACTTAGGACATCAGGTTCACAGTGCAGTCTTTGAACCGCTACACTAGTGCTTCCCCCAAAGATGATATATCTCAATGTAAGGTGTCGTTAATTGAATGTAGAAAACGCTGGACACTAATGCCATGACTAATCTATTTTGCATATATGCTCTTGTTTGCTTAAAACATTTATATTGGGACAGTACCTGTTCTGCATCATGTGCATGATAACCCAGTCGGAAAGGTACACATTCTTTCCAATCAGGTCTTTAAACATGATGAAAGTCTCCATGAGAAAATCCTGCAAACAATCAAGCACATATTTGCTATGATTAATGAACTGTGAAGAATGTTAAAGTACAACTTCATCTTAAAAGAAAACGGAGCAATATATACGCGCTCATTTACATGCATACGTGTGATATTGCCTGCATTTAAAACAACAGTTAATGTATACCATCTTTGTTCAGCTAATTCAGCAAACATAATAATTTCCACTTGTAACGTGCACAGTATTTGTTCGTTCTCGTAGAGAGAGAGAGCGACTCAGAGGCGCGAGGAACCGCAGATAAGCTAGAAGGCAGCCAGGCAGTGAGCAGACGCCAACAATTGCCAAAGCTCTGCAGTCATCTATATATTAAGATGTTTTCAGCCAATCCATGAGTGTTTAAACACTTGGGAGAAAACCGGGGCGAGTGGAGAAAACCAATGCGTGCATGGGGGCAAAAAACGATCCCATATATAAGGGACAGATGACATTAGTCTGCACTTTACTGGACCGCATTTTCCTGGAAAGCCAGGGTATGGCACATCAACAATCACGGTAAGGGACTTCAACAATATTATCGTGATCTGCCAACCCTCACCTCAGCAGTGCTGGATTACAGGCATGCGTCGCCACTTCCCCGACGGTGGTGGGACACGTTGTAGCGTTTTATAGAACAACAAGTTATTTCAGTAAAGTAACGTAGAATATAAAATAATAATAGAATATGACGTTTCGGTTGCAACACAAACAACCATCATCAGGTAAGAATGAATGATAAAACACAGACACGGAAACAACAATAGGCAGACACACGTGAAGAGAGAGACACACACAACGACACACCGGTGTGCCGTGGTGTGTGTCTCGCTCGGTGTGTCTTTGTGTGTGTGTCTCTCTCTGCATGTGTGTCTGCCTTATGTTGTTTCCGTGGTTTCCTGCTCAAATAAGCATTGATTTGAGGCAGAATCCTTTGCCTATTAGCAGCCCTGATCCAGTAGTAGAAATTCCACATTCCTTTTGACAGGAGTCAAGTCTCTCCATCGGACAAACACTGTTGACGTCCCCACAAAGAGGTGCTTATTTTATCGACCATGGAGGGATGATGGGCCGAGTCAACCCTCAACCAGGACTTGAAATTGCGAGCCGCTGGCTCTATCACTGAGCTCCCTGACTGTTTGAGTCTGGAGGAAAGATAACATCAATATTACTCCTGTATTATTACCGAAGCTGTATTAGAATACAGTAGTATTAAATTCGATCTCTTGATACAGCATGGCTCTGCTATTTATTTAAATTATGATCATATTATTCTTGTTAACAAGACTGTGCAGCATTTATTTCCGTATTCGGATAATGGTAATGTTTAATATTGAAGCTAGCTGTCACTGCTACGTTACAATGGACCTTTTAAAATTATCTAAGTACATTATGCAAGGCTTCATCATATGTGCATCCGTAAAAAGAATGGGCACTGCAGGAGCATTTGCAAACAATCAGTCATATAGATTGAATTAACTTAAATTACATTAATGAGATATTTAAATTCTACATAGTGAGGGTTGAGTTTGACTGGCTTTTTAATGAAAACAGATTTATTTTTTTACTTGCATGCATTATGCTGGCTACTTCATTTTCTCCCTATTGTATCTTTGCGTTTAAAATATTCCGCGCTATAAAGAACGGGAGTATAAAACAATTCCATTAATCACATAATATTGAGCATTACAACGCTCATGTAACATTTCACTCAGCCATACGAAACTCAATATCCAACTGGAACTGTATTATAGTATAATGGTGAAAAATAATGCAAATGCATTTCTAAGAAACACAATGTTTTTGTTATTTCCTGAATACTAGTGAGTTGTCTTAGTAATTGGCATATCGAAGTGAGTTCTTGTTCACATGAGGATAGAGGCAGTGCTCATCTCTCGGGTATGGCTGTGGGTTCGTGGTGGAAATTCCACATTCCTATGGTGGGGTAAGTCTATTAATGAACACCCACAAACGGCATAAGTAACCTCATACCAATAAAACTCAGTCCAGCAAATTTCGGAGCATTGCCATCTTTCCACATGTGCCAAACACGCTTGTGCACAGACACCTTATACATATTTTAGCTCCTCAGAAGCATCTGTTTCTCCCCTTGTTTCTCTGTTCTTATCTAAGTATCATAATGCATATTACTGTGTCTTTATGCCTCGCAGCGTCTCTCGCTGTTCGTGTCGCGATGTCTCTCCCTTTATCTATCTCTGAGCCGGTCTCTCTCCATGTCCGCACCCTGTGTGCGCATTTCTGTGTGCCTCTGCTCTGTCTATTTGTGTCTGCCTCACTGTTTGTCTGTATCTCCCTGTGCCTCTCTCTCTGTCTGTCTGTGTCAATGCCTCTCCCTGTGTCTGTCATCATGGCCTCAAGGCTGCTGTCTGCACAGACGCCCACTTAATATCGAGCGTGGTGGCTCTACATGGGGGCAGAAATGTGGCCATAGTCAGTGTGGATGTTACATAATTTATAATTAAATATAACTCAAACATGTTAAGTGGCTGGCGACATCATTGTTAGGCTTGCATGTGGCCAGTCACAAGGGTTGGAGAGGAAAGATAATTGCATCAATGAGCAAAGACATATTCAAAGCACATTAATTATATTCCAACTTAGAAATGTATGGTAAATCTTCGCTCTGAACTGACATTGCGATTCATGACAGTGTACAAATGTAGCTCCATTAATGGAATGAAATGAATTGTCCACACTTAATTGAGTTGGCCATATACAGGACTCAAGCTCCATTCAGAATCCACCGCATGACATTTTAATGGTTTGAAGTTTTTTTTATTATCATTAGTTATGTTACTTTCATGAACATCGATGCAATATCGTTTTGCTTATTGCAACTTAGTTGGTGTTTCAAATGTTATGAAATATCGACTTGTATTAGATTAATAACTAAACACTATTTCACACATTTAAAGGAAACCTTCAAAATTATAAAATGCACATTGCAGTACTCTACCAAAGTCTTGTATAAGAAATAAACACTTTAATTGACAAAAGATGCCAACGTGTGTGTATACATATACACTACCGCTGTGGGGAGTGGTTGTGCAACAGTTAGCGCACTGCGCTACGAACCCGGCGACACAAGTTCGATTCCTGTTCATGGTAAACACCAGTTATGGTTATTTGAACTAATTCTGGGCCTCCCCTAGGTCTACTCGGCCTCAAATGAGTACCTGGTTCAGCGAGTAAGCATTGCCAGTAAGGAGACAACGGCGTGCCACCAGCCCCTTCGTGCGCCGTTCCGGCCTTCATCGGTGCTCACTAAGAGCATTTGACCCAACAGTCTGTGAAGGCTATGTGGGGGGGGGGCATCTTTGTCTTCTTGCTATATATATACACAAACCTGCTTAATCAATTGACTGGGCAGTACTTTGAAATACAAGGATTGTACCAGGCAGTCACTTATAAACCAAGGGGTCATTCATTGAACAGCATGTGCAATCACCAGCCTCGGTATTATGGACCAGGTGAAAGCCACTGTTTGAACAGTTCACATTTCATCGCATACGCGTGCAGCCGGACGGACTCACCACGAGGTCCTGACGTGATTGGAATGTGTTGATGTAGTGCTGGTAGTGACCGTCTTCCATTTGCCTCAGCAGGGCAGTCATGCAGGCTACGAAGTGGCTCTGAAACATAACAAGCATCAGCTCAATGTTATTACTGTATAGCACATACAATGTTACCATATTCCACTCATTAAAATACAAGACACCGAGAGGATACTGTGTTTTTCTAAAGAGCTCGCAGGACATATTCAACCCCTTTACATGCTTATTTAACTACTTAATTCCGTAAGATCTTGTTGAATGCTGCCGAATACAATTCATAGGATGAGGTAGAACGTTGCGTAGAACATTACATGAAAGCTTAATCCGTGCAGAAAACAGGAAAAAAAAATCAACTGCATTCTGCACGTGGATGTACTATACTTTTGATTCTGAATTAATAAAGAATGAAAGTCTAAATTCACAAAGTACGTGAGTTGTGGGTGATTGGGTAATTGACAGTGTTGGGCATAGTCATCTATAACAGGATGCAAGATAATACAAATAAAGTTTAAAAAAGTAGACAATATTTCTCGATGTAATAATTTTTTCATAATATTTTTAAGGGAGATCACGAACTGCAGTATGTGACTAACACTCACCTACATTGTCAGCAGATTACAGATGCCAACATTCCAATTATTTACCCGGATCACGACGATGAACACACCCTCCTTACACATATTTATATATGTTGAACCTCTTTCACACCATACGCAGCCAACTTTACTGATCAAAGGTGCCGGGGGAAGGACAACAAGCTAAACACAAAAAGCGTTTGTACAGAAATTGGTTTTCGATCTAGATTGAAAAGTGCATTGCTCCAGCAGCTTCCTGATATCGGAAGGAAGAGTGTTGCAGATGGCCGCAGAAGCGCATCTGAAAGCGCGCGATGCGGTGACCGTCATTGTTCAAGGGCCACCCAAAAGCTGCTGAGAGGATGATCGGACCCTTTGGTTCTTTCGGTAAAGTCACGTAGGTAAAAATAAATAAAATAAAGTTAATCAAATCACGACGTTTCGGAAGCAACACAAGCCTCCGTCATCAGGTGGGATAGTCACAGCCAGAAGTAAGTCCACTACAGCAAATTACTTCTTGCTGTGACTATCCCACCTGATGACGGAGGCTTGTGTTGCTTCCGAAACGCCGTGATTTGATTAACTTTATTTTTTTTACCTACGTGACTTTACCGAAAGAACCAAAGAGTATGGATCCTTGCAGCCACGAAAACTTCATATCTAGAAAGGATGACCGGAGTTTGTGTGATGGTTCATGCTCTGTGACGGGATCAGCAAGGTATTTGTCAGCCAGACCCTGCATTGAGATGTGACCAGTGCCATTAAGGTGTATTTTGCATGTAGTAGGACACTGAAGTACCCGAGCAAAACCCACGTAAGTGAGGGGACAGCACTCCACACTGGCATCTACGTGCCTCCTAACAGCCTCGCAAATATCAAGCTTGGAAAACCGTGGAGATTACTCATCCACGTACAAAAGCAGGCTCAAACCAACCTAGCGTCTGCAATCCAATGAGAGGTCAGGCACATCTCACGTGATATTTGTCATAGGAAATTGGCAGAATTGTTTGTTGTGGTTGAAAATATTTGGGATTGAACTTGGTATGCCATTTACAGTTGCACTAAATGGACAATTTAACCAAGCCATCAAAAGTTCAAGTTCAAGGGGAGTCAAGCGGAATTGTGTTTATTTCTCCAGCTCAATAACTTTGTCAAGTGGAAACGGGCTATGTCATGAAATCAGAAACATGAGCAGCAGGGGTGTGATTACAGTGCTGTGGATATCAATTGGCTTCTTCTGGATCGAGTGGAGAGAACGTATAGAGAGACAACGAATTATCCGTATTCCGTTATCTAATGAATGTACAGAATGTGCGGTTGAGATTATGACTTTATTGGGAAAGCGTTACCGTCTCTAGCAATGTCGCGTTTTGCAATGCAGCGTTGTCAAATGAGAAACATCTCAAAAGCACCACACGTGTGCACTATTTTTGCATTATCCAACGTTCGGTAAGCGTGCGCTGGTACTGAGCTCGGTGGAGAATCAAAGGAGGAGCCGTTGGTGTAATTTAAAAGTTAAGCCTTAAATGTGTATCTGTCCCAATGTGTGTAAGCTTCACTGATGAAAGCAGGAGACGGGATACAGCACTGCAGAGGCAATATGTGCGCGGCGGTCAAGGGTGTACTCTCCACTTTTGTCGTAAATTTCACAAGAAATCCCATTGATGAGATTTGGGGTGTTTTGTACTTTGTTTTCAAAGCAGGAAGGATTTCCATCATGGTTCAGTGATGATGTGAAAATATAAGAACAATATGTTGGTTTTTATTACGCTTCAACCTATAATTCTGCTTTCCATTGTGCATGCATTAATGGTGAGTAAATACGACGAAAGGGTTCAGGTTATGACAGTACTGCCACCAGACATACTCTCATAGGATTGCTCACAGCTTTGGTAGCATTAATATTCATGAATTGTACCTCGTAAACATTTGAAATGCAGCAGAAATATCTGTTGGGTTAATGTCACCTTGAGCATCTGATGTGCAATGCCTCGGTTTCTGTGTGGATATGTAAATCCGCATGAACACGAATACTAGTTCTCACTCGCATACAGTAAACACAAATACCTCTGCATGCATGGAATACAAACTGACCTTTCAGCTTCAAGACAATTGGTCGTGAATACAATGAAAGAAAGAACATTGTCACTTGCCTTAAACATATGTTGCAGCATATCTTTTCTGTATGTAACGTATTATCTCTGTGAGCATGTAAATTGCGAATGCCGATGACATCATCTCCTAAACCCTTTCATTGCATCAAAGGGTGTAATTTATCAAAATGCTTTGATGTTTCCCTTCTACCGTATGAAGAGTACTCTTGGACATTCTAATGATTAAAACAGTTTATCACACTTTCAGTGCATTTATTTCATTTTTACTTTAAAGTAACATATGGTGGTTTGATTAGGGATACACAGAAAGGGAAATCAACCAGGTATACTATGTTTAAAAAAAAAATAGTCTGCATAATGATCGCAGTGTGCTCCCGAGCCTCACTGGCATGACATGATACTTTTTTTCTATTTTCTTTCTACGTGAATCTCAACATGTTGGCTGAACCGATGTTGTATTTTGAGGACGGTATATGCCTACGAAGTATTTATAAACTCTTTCTAAAAATAAAGAGATGCTGCCCTGGTGGACTGGTTAACACACTGGCCTTTCCAATTCAGGGTCGTCAGCTCCACTTCGATATCCCTCTACGACAGCTGAAAACGGTGTGGCAGGGCGAATGGGCACACCAGTCCTCCGATCGTCACGTTAAGTGCGGTCGGGCAAAATGAATTCAATCAAACGTTTTATGAAAGCTGTACATGCTGCTCTCTGAAATAAGAAAAATACCCATTATCCTTGTGGTTGTGAATACCCTGGTGTTTTTGTGGCAATGGGGCCAGGTGTTGAGCCTTTGAACAAATCACCCTCAATGCGCCCAATCTCATCAGACCTCGGTAGCTAAGCATGGTTGAGCGTGGTTAGAGCCTGGATTGGCGACCAGACTACTACTACCTTGCATAAAACAGTCGTTGCAGGCTGCTGTGAGGCTGCATTGTCAGCAGGTGGTAGTGTCGCAAAAAAATTCACTGTTGTATTGCACTATGTCCCAACATCTACGCTCCCTGTCTTCACCAACCCGCACTGACGATTCTGGTGAAGTATGGTGATAGAGCACCTATTACCTGCATGCACATGTGCACATGAGATCAGGTGAAGCCAATTTGATTAATGCTGGTCACATTCAAAGCTAGTAAACATTGCATTGATTATATTGATTACAATGACCTTGGCAATACGCAATCGCCGGTTAAAAAGAAAGGACTCGCAAGTTTTAATTCCCAGTAAAAGTTCATTCATGTGCGTGTACTCAGTCCAATATATTCTGAATTGTAACGGTCTTGTGTAATAAACAGAGGAGGTAACATTAACAGATAACAAAACGTTATTCACTGCAATGTTCCCCTTTAGATATGTAGTGGATTAACACGCGGATACAGGGGAGAATGGTAACGACGCGCGACTTATGGACATGTGGGTTTCGTCGGGCCGGCCAGGTGTGCAGGAATGACGGGCCAATGAAGCTGGAGAGCGATGTACGGCTGTGATTGGCTGGGGTTGCTGTCAAGGGCGGAGTGGCGCCGGGGTGTCTGGGAATAGAGGGGGGCAAGTAACAGGTGCGGGGGGGGGGGACGCGGGGCGTCGGTGGCACGAGGCCTAATTAATTGGTTGGTAATGAGAACGTGGATATATTCGGGAGACGGGAAGAACGAGTTGAGTTGTTGTCGCTGGGACTGGAACGAAGCAGGTCGGGGAAAACCGGAGCGAAGACATAGGAGACAGAACAGGCTAGCAGTAGAGCAGAGAGAGACGAGCAGGAGACAGCGAGTGACGAAGAGAGACGGGGACGACGTAGAGGGACAGTGAGGGATAGGGGAGGAAGCGGAGTGAGCGAGATGGGCGGAGCGCGGCGAGCGAGCTGCGGCTAAGCGGAATGACGGAGTCACAGACGTAATGTGAAGAGTTGTAATAAAAGTGGTGTCGGAGAAAACAAGAAAGTTGTCCGCGTCAAGTCGACCACTACAGATATATAACTGAGCTAATGTCATATAGATGGAATGTTGCTTCCAAAACAAGTTTAAGTTGATTTATTTTAGCCCGGTGAGACTTCAGGAGACCAGGATAGAGTCTAATTGGCTAGAGTGATCTGGGGCAATAGTCTGCCAGTAGGGGGGCAATGATTGTTATGCATAATTGCAATTGAGTAATTTGTGGGTCATTTTCTCATTTGGATGCTGACGCCAGCACACAATGGCCTGCTCTTACGAATACCATCAGGGGATCTTTAGATATTCACTGTGAAGCAGACGGAGCATATTATTACTGCGGTTATTACACCCAAAGTAATAACCAGGGCGGCTGCTGCATTAGAACCATGAACCTCTGCAACAAGCGATGAACAGCGCTAAACCAGTGGTGGGCAACCCGGGCCCCGCGGTGGCCTGGTCTCAGTGTCTCTCGGGTGGCACGTGGCATCATGATTTGTGCACAAGCACGATGATTTCAAGCTTGCGCCCCAATGAGGCGAAGGAGGGCCGCTCACGTGGCCCACTAGTTAGCGTAGGTTGCCCCTGACTGCCCTAAACATTCTGGGAATCAACCTCAGGTGGCCATTTAACACATACGATTTTGTGACTTCAAAGTTAAAAACAATATCAATTGGCACGTTTTGTTGGGGTGACAACTTGGTTTGTTTGGCTGTTGGGTGGAGAAGGGTGGCCAAATGTGAACTACCTTGGCTGGTATGCAGGAGGTCGTGGGTTCGATTCCGACCCTGATGCCTGTATATTAAGAGTTTGCACGTTCTCCGCATGGTCGTGTAGATTTTTATCCGGGTCCTCTGCTTTTCACCTCCACATTTAGAAACATGCCTTTTTGAGTATTTGGCTGCTATAAATGTCCACGTGATGATAAGCCTCTTGGCTGAGCTATCATTTAGATCGCTTCTAGAAAAACGAGCCATATAGCTCAGTGGGCCATACCTCGTAAAAATATATTTTTTAAATAGTTTAGTACGGCGACATTTGTCCTCAAACAACGCAATCTAACAATAAAAAAACTATTGTGAATCGGTTCGCCATATTCAGTGCAATGTGCTAACCCACCACCCCACCGCTCCAGGCACAATTGTATATATAAAGCAATTCAAAGTGCGCACCAAAACATAATTAGCGCAATTGAGCAAGTGTTATAAACTTCATATAGGTGCTTTAATAAGCAATACAATCAATTACATGTTTGTTTTCCAAAATAAAATGTAATGTATTTAATCTTTGGCGTTTAATGCAACACAAAACAGTCATAACACCATCAAATGATAGTGATAATTGTCATAAAACACCTCGATTCAATTTAACACGTAGGCTTTCGATTCAAGATGGGTAAGTCAACTACATTTTCTAAGAAATGACTGTGTTAAGGATCATGTAATTTTCCATTCTGGGTGATTATATTTTTATCATACACTTGACAAACAATTTCCTCTCACAAAACATGCAGATAATAAATCCATTCTTATTCATGAATTAAGTTCATTAGTTCATTGCAAAATAATAGCAAATACCCTTTTTATAAAGGAGAAAAACTCTGGAAACAGGCTGGTAATGTCTCCCATGAATATAATTATACCCTCAAGGTTTAGCTTGGCTGAATTATGTACCAATACCAAGTTTTAAAGATTTTTTTGAGTTTTTGTGTGCAATAATTGAAGCCATCAAACTGACCATATGAGAAGAAAGGTACCCGCTGAAGCCCAAGGATTGAACACAGAAGATCAGATGTCTGGCTTTTGGTATGCAATGCATATCGGCAGTCCCATGATCATGGAATTACTCGACCAATGCAGACACATTACAAATGGCAATGACATGTTCTCAAAAAAATATTGCAACTAGCATGCATTATAGGATCATATATAATTTAAAATAACACAAAAAATAATGGTTATGTTTCGTTTAACATGTTCTGTATCTCAAGATGCAACTCTTGTTAATGTGTAATTAATAACAAGCAATTTTACAAGACGTAAAATGTTAAGGTGCAGCCCTGCAATTGCTTGCTCATCCCACTGTGCAGCAGAAGGGCTTCCACCAGAGGCAACTCTCGAGAGCCCTCTGGAGGGTATTTGACCCGACTCTTCCATGCTGGACGCACATCTTGGAAGAGGTGAAAAGAGCAACTATACTTTACCCCAACAGACCCAACCTGCTGATCGACTGCGGAATAATAATTTAAACTGCTGGCTCGGACAGAAGTGGGAGATTTAAAAAAATAAAACGTGCACATTGTAGCAACTGCCGTTCTGGAAGATTAAATCGAGCTAGCGATCTCTGGATTGCAAGTCCAATGTGCCGACCATTACGGCACAGCAGCACCCACATGTGTAGTGCATAGGTATGTTTAAAATATATATGTTAAATATATATCTTCTAAATTATGGAGTGCTTTTATTTGAAGCCTTCGTGACTCCAGGAATCCATACTCGTTGGTTCTTTCGGTAAAGTCACGTGAGTAGAAAATTCATAGATCACGACGTTTCGATCGCAACACAAGCGACCGTCATCAGGTGAAACAACAAACACAGCAGGAGAACTGCTGACGTTCTCCTGCTGTGTCAACAATACACCTTTCATCCCCTGTGGCAATAAAAAGTCGAGGTGCAATGCAACCATTAACGTTTTAAAAATAATAATTTAAATATACAACTGACTGGGATCACCAGAACAAGAGCAGAATGTACAGTAACTCATGAATTGCACTGTTCTAAAGTCATATGTATCACCAGCGACTGTGCGACATCTGCTATCTTTAAACAGTCCCAAAGCAGCAACAGATGTGCATGAGACAAGCTGTGTAACATGTGAGCCTATAATATTTTTCTTACAACATGGCTTAATGCAATAATGTCAACGTGGATATAATTGCTTAAGTGTAGACATCATATTAGATTTCTAAGCAACATTTTTTTCAATTTCACATGTAATACAGATCGAAGGTCTAATGTTTAACACACACACACACGCATACCCGACAACGACCTGGACTGATCTGGTGTTCCACTGCATGCATAGCAGAAACTCCAGCCACTCTGTGTGATGTGACAAATAACTGGGAGTGTCGATTAAAATAAATAAAGACAGTGGACAGCCTTTGGCAGACACAGATCGGAATCTTGGAGAGATGTTTTTTTTGTGGTAGAATAAATATGTTTAAACACTGGAAAGTTGCACGATTGGCTACGTATGGTGCGAAAGAAGTTCAACATAATTTACGTGCACACAATAGACACGTGTCATTGGGATGGCGACATGGGTTGTAACAGGATGCAACAAAGTGAAAGATTTTAACCTAGAGTTCCACCGACTTCGCCGCATTGATTGCAGCGCAAAGCTAAGCAGATGCGACGGTGCTTATACGTGTTTTTTTTTATCAAAGTGAAAAGCACATCATGGCTGAAATGCACAGTACATACACAAAGAACAAAGCAAGTTACATTTTCAATGTTCTGCTGGGCTTACAGAAAAAGTAATGGCAGGTCTGCTGACGTGCTGCCAATTCAGAACGACTGGAGGAATAACGTATTTCCCTTCATGTCCAAAGACAGCGTGCAAGTGGTTACCTTTATAATATCAGGCCCCAACTCCTGCACTTCCTCCTTGTCTCCTGTCACCCCCCCCCCGCCCCAGAAAAAATGTTGTACGTTGTAAGAGGAGCACAGAATTCCTTGAGGAATCACAGTGTCAGCCATCCTTGGCCCAAGCTGCTCATATCTCTACGGAGAATAGCATGGGGATATTGTGATGCTTGTGGACAGGGATGGCTTAAGTGTATTTGCCTGGCCATGTAATAGCAGTGGGCAGCAACATGCCTCTGACGCCCGCGGCACTGTTCACATTTAAGCTCAGCATGTGATCCGTCAAAGTGTAAAAATGTGTTGCTGCGCATTTTGCTGCACTGTTTTGGTTCCGCACACGCAGCCAGATTTTTTTTGGGCCCTCGAAAAGATGTGCACGAGATATATTTAAGTGCATTTTATCGGTGCTGATCAACTTATTCTGGGTTTTTTTTGTGTATATCGGGTTATTTTGTTGTATAAGACTCTCATGCAGATGGAGTGTCAAGCCAATAAGGTTAGCAGGCCTGAGGGCACAAAGGCAGCCGGCAGTGAGCCTACATCTCCGTGTGTTTGCCAAGGGCTGTCACACGGCCCTGACGTGTGATGTCTTGATTTGATCAAGGATATTGATGGGGTTTTCTCACATAGACTGGACATTTTTAATATAAGCCACATAACAAACCCTTGCTATTTGCATGAGGAGTACAGTTTAAATCTTGACTTAAAGCTTTCGTGACTGCAGGAATTCGTATTCTTTGTGTCATTCGGTGAAGTCACGTAGATAGGTTGAACAAAAATAAAAAAATAAAAACTACGACGTTTCGATCACAACACAAGCGATCGTCATCAGGAGGATGACGAGAATATGAATACAGTTTAGTTTTTGCTATTGTAATGATTTTGCTTCATGGAAGTGAACAAAAATATAGATAGCAAGTGAATGCATGCATTGATATAAAATGCATACATTTTTTTTAATGGAATTGATTATACAATATTTCGTATGCGCTTTAGGAAATAGATAGTTTAAAAAAAAAACACCTGCCGAAAACGATGTTGCAAGGATTTAACGGAGACAACACGAGCCATTAATCATTCTGAAGGAAAGGGTGGGGAGCGCGAGGGGAAGAGAGCTAGCATGATGCAGTGGTACGATGCCAAAGCTCCCTCCATCCCCACATTCTCACTCCGAAACACGGCCCCCCCACCACGTATCCCGCACGCCCTCCCCCACCACCAACCCCATCCTTCTCAACTCCACACCCCCACCGTAACGATTAGCAGATCCGCATTCACCTCGCACAGATCGCACGCTTCTCTTCGCGGGACTATAATTACCCACCTCGGCGCAATCTGCAATGGGGGGGGGGGAAGCAGTGTTTGTAAGCTGCCTAACGCGAAGCTGATCCCGTTAAAATTCGACCTGGCTCACGGCCGACGTGGTCTCGGAGGCGCAGCGCTGAGAGGGAAATAAAAATAAAAGGGATTTGCACAGTGGCGGGTCACATGGACCACACACTCGCGCACGGCCGGCTCGCTCAAGTGCCTGGCTTGCGTCTCCGGGAAGTTACACGGCACGGGCTTTCTCCTCCTCCTCCACACAGCCATTTACACTTCAGCGCTGCGCCAGCGACTGCTGCTCCTCCTCCTCCTCCGTGGGCTCCTCCGAAGGTGGCCTCGATGTCCCCGACGCATCGCCATGGATTACTGTACACGGTGCACTGAGGTATGGATGGATGCTGTCACGGCGGAACGAGAGGGTCGGTCTGCGTTAAGGTCAAGATCATCGGGCTGCCAAAGAAGAGAGGGCTTGTTTACTTGAAAAAAGAGGGAAACGTGAGATTTAAAAAAAAAAAAACTTGGTGGGGTGGTGGTTTTTTTTTATTGGGGGGTGAGGGTGTGGAGGTGCTCTCAGCATTTGGTTTATGTGCCACGCAATATGGCATATGTGGACTGCAGTCACTTGAAAAAGTGAGTACGCTTACTGGTGTGTTGTGCTTCACGTGAGCAGTAAATTGCTGGTTGTTTCGGGCAAAGTCGGATTTTGAATATACGTTCATTCGTATTATTATTCTCATTTAACCTGAGAGATCATTGTGATGTTATGTGTTAGTTCATAAGACTTTAAATGTATGCACTCATTTAATTTTCCATTATACTACCACCCAGCGTGTTTGCGAATGGGTGCACGTGTGCACGTGTGTATGTATTTTTGGTAAATAAGTTTAAGTTCACTAAATTATAAATGCGTTGTGTATAGTCTATGCTGCAGTCCCAGGAATTGATCGGTGACCGTAATTATGCCACGAATGGATTTACAGCCAAAATGGCAATTGGCCTCAGGATTGCCACGGCAATGTTTTGTCATACCCCCCCCCCCTCCCCGTCTAAAATGCTGACGCCTCCTGTCCTGCCCGTGGTGTGTAAAGCGTCAAATTGTGATAAAACAAAAGTCAGAAGTAGTAGCCGATTCTCTCAACGTGCTGACCCCATGATTCATGTGCACCCTCTACTGGAAGAAATCATAACTATGAAACCTACTGGGGCTGGGGATGGCTGAGAATCCAATTTTCTAGGCACACGTGAAAACACATGCATGAAAGTAACGATAAAGATGAAAAATTATTTATACCTGTACATTTTAACGTAACAAAACATTATCATGTCCACAGCACCGCGCGTGGAAAAGTCTAAAAACGATGCGTATATATCCGTACATAACGTTGTCCGCTCTAGCAAAGGGTTTGGAAAGCGTCACCCGTTGAACGATTTTGCGAAGACACTTTCAGCGGCTTTGATGTGACAAAGCCAAGATGCAATGGGCTGCAGTGGCAAGTGCCCGACGGTGAACGCCGTTGTAGCGCGCGCCCCCCCCCCCGCCAACCTCCCCCCCCCCCCCCAACAAGCATGGCCAGCAGAGAAGGCGTCCGAGTCCCATCGCCGTCCCGCCTGGGACCCGTGTTTGTGACGGCTCGGCCCGCCGTGCTCAAGTCCGCCAGCCAGCTGCTGCTCGAGCAAGAGCAGAGACGGGGAGCTGTCGCCGCCGCCGCCGCCGCAGCCGCAGCCGCAGCCGCAGCAGCAGCAGCAGCCACGGCCACGGCCACCAAGATGCGCAGCAAAGTGCAGCAGGTGCGCTTCAAGGACGTGTCGGACGTGAAGGTGGAGTGCCACGTGGAGGTCGATTTGGGGGGGGGGCGCGGCACAGCGGGCCGCCCTGAAGCTACCGGGCATCCGTACGCATGTTGCCGCTCCACCTATGCCTGTGTCTTCTTGCCCACTGCAGCTCGCTGAGCCCTCGAAGGCTCTCAAATCGACGGCAATTCAGACGTCTCCCTGGATCAAGCGCCAGGCTCTGACGGTGCCGTCGAGGCACGGGCTGAAGTCGACCAAAGTGTGCTCCAACTCTATCCAGGTTGCAATCGTGCACCACTCGGCCGAACGGCAGGTTGGAATCGAGGAGAATGTGTCCGTCCGTACGGAAAGCGATGACTTAAAGCCCCCCGGCTGTCAGGAGCCAAAGCAGACGTCGCGACGTCTTAATAACTTGTCGGAGAAGACTGAAATTCCTGCAGGATGCGGTCAAGCTGATCAAAACGCCGTCAACTCGCCGCGTTCTAAAAACAAGCAGGCCTCCTCCGCTCAAAATGAAAAAGGCACACATGGGGTAGGGTCAGGTGAAACTGAAGAACACATCAAACCAAGCAAAGAATTACATTCAGAATCAGATAAAGCCCTATCTGTCGATGCAGAGAATGATAAAAGGCAAACAACAGCAACAGAGCTGGCAGTTGCGGTGCTTGAACAAATCACAACACTCACATCCCACATGGCTCCCTCACAAACAAGAATAGCAAGGCAACCCATAGAGCACCCGCTGATATTATCAGAAGAACTGCTGAATTTTCAAAAACTGTCTGCAGAAAAGTTAATCATTCAACAAGACTTCAAGGTGGAAACTCCTGAATCATTAGCGATTAAAGGAGAGGCCAATAATCTCTCGTCTCCAAATAGAGTGGCTTTTGGCACGGGAAATCGATCACCCTGTAAGAATGACTGTCCACCGGATCTGCTGCGCAAGGATCACAATCTGAACGAGCTGATTACAATCGACAGCGACGAGGACCCAAAGCACAATCCGAGTCGACAAGCGAGAGGAAGTTCGCAAGACCAGACATCGGCAGCCGGGGGGGATGATGTAACGCGGCAGCAGCAGCAGAGCCACCAGTCCGCCGAGGAGAGACGAGGCAGCAGTAAAGACCTACAAGGCTCGTGGGAGGAGGTGGAGGAGCTACGCAAGAAACTGCGGACCCTGGAGGAGGTCCTCAGAGCCAGCCAGGACACCATCAAGTTGCTGCTCAGCGTCATTCAGGAGCTAGAGCGCGTACAGGCCCACAAAGAAGGGTGAGTGCTGCCTGTCCTAATCGAGACAATGTACGTGTAGGTATTGCTCCCTGCGTTGAATGCGGTCCCATGGTGTATTAGGAGTACTCTTGCCAATAATGTCTGGTAAATGGGCAGGGCAGCATTTGTTTTACAAGCCTCATGGCTGGTGATGCATAGAAGGTTAACACTGGCCCAGGGAAAGGCTGATTAACCAAAACATATGTCGATTTGTATGCGGAGAGACAGAACAAAGTTCTGCTCATGACGTTTTAGTGTAAGGCCACTCTTTTTCATCTGCTGCCTCCATAGTCTGGCACCCTTGGCGATCCTTTGCTGTTGACCCACTGCCCCTGTTCAGGTCCAGCCTCAAGACCTTCCTCTATTCTTTTACCAATGAGTGACTGTCTCCATCCTCTGAAGACAATAAGTAAATATGCCTCCATTGCCTAGGATGCCCACGTTCCACTGTTTTGCGCAACGTCTTCATATGCAGTTGCAGTTAGACACTATATATATCTATCAATACGGATGTTAATATATCCTTTTCTGCAAACGCAACATTGTATTTTTCGCATCTGCCAATTATAAAATGATAATAACAATATATAAATATAAGATTTTAATGGCCTAAATGAGTTGGTGTTCAGCAGCGATTAAACACTGGATACAATTTGTGGGATTATTAAATTATTGATTTTACTCTCTACTCTCCTCTGTCTCTCTCTGTGCCTTTGTCTGCATTTAGTTGCAAGGTCTGCTTGATGTACAAAGTAAACAAATGATCGAAAGCATTTTGTATCGCCGTTAAATAGCTCCTGCCCTTCGCACCAGTTTCTTCCAGAATCACCGCTTTTAAAAAGAGCAGAGTGTGCCCCATTGCTAAAGATGTGCGTTTTGCTTTGTTGCAGCAGATCATATCGTTCTGGACAGGATATGACCAACTGTGATGCTTGCCGCAAAAGTGCCTGCATCATATACAGGTAATGCCGCGGAAGAAACACCGCAATATTTGCTGTATTGCCGTTATACTTTTTTGTCGACCTCACCCCACATCGCTCTCCTTTATACTCCACCCAGTTCTATTCCAATCCCGTAGGTCGGCCCTCTCACGTGACGAACCACGGTGGTGAAGTCGGGTTAAACAAACTCTGCAAACCAACGCAGCACGGCGGAGACCTTCATCCAGCAGTGGATTGACAGTACTGTAAATTATAATAATATTATTAATAACGCCAAAAGCCTGTGTTTTATTCAGATAAGCTCATCCTATGCTGAGGTGTACCTGACCCATTAAACAAAAAGATCATTAATATGTCACCTTCGTGGTCGTGCATTCTACTCTGTGGGATTTATGTCACCGACTGTTTGCCAAAGTCCTAACGGTTCCATGTGCTTTCTCTATAGCCATGCTTGTGTTATCATTGCCAGTGTTATTTATGACCCTCACTTAACTTGGCACAAGCAGCCGCGCACGACAGATGCTAATGAGAAGCAAGGACACCATTCCATTCACAAGCATTGCATTCCGGGCATACATTCCCTTATATCTTCTATATACTAATAATAACAACTTAAAGCCCTCTGTCAATCCACTCACTGCTAGATGAAGGCCTTCCCACGCTAATGCCAGTCACGGGGTTGTTTGTAATTTAGCACACCGGTCAGTGCAGGTTGGTGAAGGTTTGGGGGCCTTGGATTTGTTGAGATATCCCTTGCCGCTGATGTTAGCCGTGACTCGGAACCAAATTCAGATCAGAGTGTTCATAGCACAATCCGCTAAACAATGGATCACCGCTTCCGCCCCATGTTTGTTATGAACACTCATATACACTCGACCATATATATATACCTCGTGTGGAAACCCCATATAATTGCTGCTGCTGTATGTCATACTTTAAATTGCGGTACACAACTTTAATTGCTCCATGGGCCACCCCGTGATTTAAATAATTTAACAGAAACAGAAATTACTTCCACATGTTAGTTCGGAACTTTTGAAATGTATGCACTTTCTAGATGGTGCTGGCATGAAAATGGATGCTTCAGGAAAAAAGTTCAAGTCCCACATACATTTATGCCAATACTAGCAGAAGGGCTTCCACTGGCGAGAGACCTAGAGGGCTATTAATAATGTGTTTGCCCTACTCTTCCGTCGTAGGAAGGTGTCTTGGAAGAAGTGAGAGTAGTCATTCTTTATCGAACCACACCCAACCTGCAGATAAAATAACTGCGGTGTACAATTTTTACTGTGGGGTGGACAGATGGGGGTGGATTTTAGAAATCTGCCCATTGTTTTATCTGGCACACCAAGAGATCGAACCGTTGAACTCTGTACTTTAAGTTCAGTGTGTTATCCATCATCCCCTGCTAGGAGGTTACATATGGGAAATTTACCATTTTTGAACATCAATAATGCAATGTTCTGATGAAACACAGGAGCAAGCAGTGCTGGCAATGTTAAAGATGTTTTTGAAAATGAAACGAGTGTGCTGTATAATAAAATTATTATGTGTTTCTCTGTATGGGTGTTGTGCATATGCAGTATAGGCAGTAAACTGGTGCCTGGTAACAACACTTTATCAAACTGTCGAGTATTTGTATCTAGGTATAATTTACCAAGCCAACATTTGTCATGATCAGGACAAGTATGTGCAAAAAAAATAAATTAGAAAATCCCACACCATCATAAATCAAATAATAGAATAATATTCTGCCACCAGCCAGCTTCAATACATTTAATTGAGCAGAAAACAAAAGTAGTACTTATCCAATGTATATTCATGGTAGAAACTTAAAACAAAAGTGTATGTGATATTATGTGTATATAAATATGATTTTAGAATTTAAAAAAAAACCTACATTTTATTTATCATTAAACAGCACGGACAGTTTTTTTTTGTATTGTGGCATATAGCAATTTATATATTAAACATTTTTTCCCACTTGTTTACCCAGGAAAGGCTCACTCTGCAGTCACAAAACTCTTTTTTCAGGAGGGTCCTGCCCGGTTTTCACAGTAGTTGGGCGATGTTGCTATTTGCAATCCCGATTGAACAATTTGCAGGTTATTTTATCAGCATTGGGGCGTTTGAGTAATTCCAGTTATATTGTATATGCTTTTTTTGTTGGCAATGGGAAAAAACCAGAGAACCCAGAGCAAAAACCCATACAGAACAGGGGGAGAACATAGAAACTTCACACAGAGGCACCTGAGTTGGGAATCGAACCCAGCTCTACCTTTCTGTGAGACCACAAGCGTTACCACTTGCACCGCCCCAAGTAATATTATGCCACAGATTATAAGCTCACTACCTACCATTCACACTCCAACAACTTGTTAGGTTTTATATTCCTGAAAGAGCACTAAGTATGGCATTTGCTAATGGGGGCTGTATGTTACAGACGATCACATTGTAATTGTTTAGAATCGCTGTCTGTGACTGTTGGCATAATAATTCCTTTGCAATCCTGAAAAGGGGTCATTTGTAGGGGCACAGTATTTGTCATAATTGTTAATAAATGCACTCTCATTGGCATCACACTTGAGAAACACATATTTGTCCATCACTCGCTCAGAATTTAACAAGTTTAATACAATGTATTTACAGCCATTTGTCTATCCACTGCATGGATGAAAGCATCCCCGCATTGTGTCCATTCTGGAGTTTGTTTGACCATACTTCAACTATGTGGTCAATGTGGATTGATGAAGGTTTTTGGGTGGAGGTGGATTAAAGGCCAGGACTTGTTCAATAATCATTCGTCACTGACGTTAATCATGGCCAGGAATCAAACTCGGATCATCAGGTTCATTGTGCAGTGTGCTTATAACTCCACCACCACTTCTTTCTGACACTAATGAAATATTATAACTTCACATACTCTTTAGATACCAGTACAATATTAGCTGTTAAGAAGATTTTAAAGTAAACGAAACAAGAATAAAACGACCAATTGATTTGGCAGAGCATCGAAAAAAAGTGTAAATGCTTTCACTTAAAAGCAGTGTTTTTTTTGTGAATACATACATTGACTAGGTTTTACAGGCATATTTGTTTTCATTTTGTGTCGAGGGTAATAACCGTTACATTTTCTGCTGGCTGTGTTTACTGCTTGGTCATTTATGATATTTAAAAAAACCCTTAAAATATGTCTGTTGACAAGTACACACCGTGGTTCAGTTGTGTCATCCGGGTCCAGAACTTGAAAATAATTGACCTCATTCCCCACTTAAAGACGTGTGCCCAGTTGTTATTTCGGCGCAATGCGTGAAACTGCTGCTGAATTTTGAAACCCTATTGAATACAAAAAAATATGGCAGAGTTGAGCAATGGCTTCATAACCGTCCTCTATGCCCATGTCATGAAAAGAGTCTTTGCTAAGAGCCATTGGTCACTCTCGTACAACTGGGCCTATAGGCATATTTATGTTTACCCAACAGGTATACACTATCTTGCATTTAACCCGTTTCCCATTCCAAGTTACAGGGTGGGTCCCATTCACCGCTGAATCTCGGAACGCTCAAGCGGTTAGCGTTAATTTTATTCAGAGAGGCATGACGCAGCCGTTTTTTTTAAGACATTGTACTCACCGCAGAGAACTGTAGTGACACGACCGCACTCTACGACAGCTGGCGACAAACTGCGCCACACGCCCTCCCGCATGGCCTTGTGGGAGCCTCGGTAGCAATAAAGTAATTTTCTATATTCTTCCGGTTCACGTACATCGTCGGAACGGAATCAGAAGAAATAGAGGTTTAAAATGCGAGGGTGCAAGAAATGACACTTACGCGAGCGGCAATCCACGAGCATGACCTTGTTCATTTGGGAGACAAACAATAACTCAGAGGTGGCACGATACAGCCTATCTTGATTCTTTTTTTTATCAAACGTGAAACGGGAAGAGTAACGATAAGGTCTGCGCACGTCTAGTGTGCATTCTGTTCCAGCTCTCACCACCCCCCCCAACCTCCTGTGTAAATGAGGAAAGGCTGCGACACTCATTGCTTAATTGGATTAATTTTCACATTTTAGTTTAGCCCTCTCCAACTAATAGCTTCTGACGTGACTATGAGAACGTAGAAGGAAGGTTGAGCCTGCAAGGGAAGTGCCGTTTCCAGCTGACATTGTAGGCGCAAAAATATATTCCCGTGAGAAAAAAAACTAAATTGCTAAAAAGAGAAGTGAGAAGACTGATAATGAGCTGAACTCAGAACTTGAAGGTTGACGTTGTAATGGAAAATTCAGTTCCAAAAATTATTCTTGTAAAATGACAATTGCAACAGCCAATGAAATGTTAAAGGGATAATCTAAAAAATCATGAAATCATACTATACATTGAAACACTGTAATGCATCTTGTGGTGAGGAAATACAAGACAGGGTTTTTTTTTAATATCTCGGATGGCAACATTTCTGGCAATTTAATATTAAAGGGATTAAGCCCGAATGCTAAGCCGATCCTTTGTGTTGAAATAAAATGCTGTGGACATAGGTAAGGATTGGATAAAGGTGCAGCCCTGCAATTGCTCGAGAGTGCTCTATAGAGAGCCTCGATCGAGGGGCTATTTTACCAACTGTTCCACAGTGTCCAGACATTTTGGAAGATGCGGAAGTGTCCACTTTATGCCACCACAGGCGACCTGCCGATCAACGAACTGTGGTGCACCATTTATGCTGTTTGGAGGACAGAAGTGGGGAGATTTTAGAAACTTGCCATTGTTTAAACTGCCACACCGGAAGAATGAGCCAGCAATCTCTAGATTATTGCAAGTGCAATGTGCTGTCTATTACACTCTGGCAGCATCCCCACTGTGATCACAGAAACGCAATGCTTTGTAAGTTGAAGGTTTTTGCTGACACGCAGGCAAATAATATCAAAATTATATAATACCGGATCTCTGCTAACTGCAGGATAGTTGGGCACTGTGTAAAACAATTTTGTTTTTTCCTAATGCATTGCTAGCATGTGTTAACCTAATG